TGATTTGACTTTCACCTGAGTGTCTATCCCTCCCTCCATACCCCATTCCTCCACCCATCACCACCACTGGGCTTCCCCATCCCGTGAGATCAGGGGTTCTTCCAGGTGGCAATGGCTTCCAACTCATTTCATAAGGCTGAGGCCACACTCGGGTCCTTCTTCAAAACAGAGGTCCCCAACCAATGGAATCAAAGTCTGGGGGTTTCCCCTACAACTACCTTGTGGGCTCTGTAATATCTCCTTCTCCTTTTCCCTTTTCTATCCCTAAAACAGCAGGTGCACTTCCGATCCCTGCAGCATGACATGCTGCGACTGACTGAGACAAGTGGCAGGGGTCTTGGCCAGCTCCAAAGACCTGTTGCAACAAGACATTACGTCATTCATTTAGTTGATTGGGAGAAACGACAGTCCTGCTGGCCGAGTGGGTGAGGCAGGAGAATACAGAATATCATAGGCTAACCCTGTGTGAGCCGAGGCTCCATCTCAGCCTCAGACACTCGAGTCCCTGTCTTCCAGAAATCTAGTTCTGACTCACTGGACCACATTTGAGCTATAGTAACCCGTGAACAGATGGACAACTGGTCCCCAAAGAATTCTAAGGCTATGAAAGCCCTGGCTCAGGGTAAGAAACAAAGACAAAAACACCACTCAGTTCTTTCCTGGTCAAGTCACTCTTGCGTGAGAAAGAATTCTGAGAAAGAAGTAATGCCTCATGTTTTACTACATTTACCCCTGACCTTGACTTCTCTGTCCCTTGACCTCTTAGAGAACCAAACGGGGGAGGGGAGGGAGGAAGAGAGGGGGTGAGAGACAGAGAGAGAGAGAGAGAGAGAGAGAGAGAGAGAGAGAGAGAGAGGACTGGGCTTCTTATAGGGATTAGATATGATGAAGGGCAGGAGGGCTGACGGAATGAAGGGTAAAACGAAGGTACTTCTGCTGTGGTCCTGAACTGACCGAGTAGCCAGGTGCTGGGGATGTACACACAGGAACACCTCGGAGATGTGCAGCTTCGGTTCCAGATGACCTCAGTAAAGCAAATATTGCAATAAAACAAAACACAGTGCATATAAAAGTTATGTTTACACTATACTGTAGACTATTAGGTGTGCAGTAGCGTTATGTCTATCAAAAAACAATGACATTTTTAAAAGTCACTAAAAAAGGCTAACCGTCATCTGAGTATCCAGTTAGTTGAAATCTTTTGGCTGGTAGAGGATCTTGCCTTCAATTGTCTCATAAAAAACACAATATCTGCGCAGCGCAATAAAACGAGGGGGAGCATGGTTGGTTGGAAAGGGAGAAGGAGGGACATTCAGAAGAGACGAGCCTCCTCTGATCCCATGCTTTGTGCTTTGGGAAAGAGATATTTTTGTCCAGTTTTACAGAGAGAAATACAACGGGAAGTACAAAGGGAAAGATTAGAAACCTGCATCTCCCTGAGGATGACTGTGGAGCCCCAGGTCCTCCAGGGAAAACCTCACATCCTGAACCCTAACCTGACCTTGATCCACTGACCCTGGGACTGGGACGTCAGGCAAACCGGAAAGGAGGAAGGAGGGCCGGACCCTCGGGCGGTCCTCCAGCCCAGAGAGCTCATCGACACCAAGAGGTACCAATCTGCCTTACGGAGCTGGTGAGGCTGGGTGTGTGCTGGTCCAGCAGGTGCGTCTGGACTTCCCTCCCCCTCTCCCTGCCCCACATCGGAAGGCTCAGCTGCACTTCTCCATGAGACTCAACGTAAGGGAGAAGTGCCAGGGACCACTCAAGAGGGCCTGGGACGAGGTCAAGTTTCAGCGTCTGTTAACTTGCACCGTCCCTTACCCACCCTCAGCCCAGCTGTTAAATAAGCGTTTTGCATTTCCTTCCAGGTCTACGATTCTAATTTGTAATCTGAAAAGGAATGAAGGACATCCGATAAATGGCATTTCCAAGTCACGGGGAAAGGACGGAGTCCTGGCGATCTTCAGAAGTCCCTTTTCTACCTCCAGGTACTCCAGTGGGCTCTCTAGCCCCGCCCAAGCCTCAGCCCCCAGGAGTTCAACGAGAGAAAGCAAGGTTACAGCCTGATTCCTGTGGATGAGGTCAGTAAACAGTAGCTTCCAGAACTCCCTAGTGGTATCTTTCACATTCTGTTATCTTTGGAGGCCTGGGTGCAATCCCAGGTACAAATGTTTAACAGCATTCAACAGGCTCCCCCCCACAGAGCAGCAGGGGTAACCCCCTGCTGGGCTCTGTCTCTTGGAGGCCCCTGTCCCAAGAGGCAGATCCTCTGTGCCAGGCCGCACACTCTGCCCAGGAGCTGCTGAGAACTGTTTCTGGTCCCAAACATCAGAGCCTGAATTCCCACACCCCTACTTACTAGTTGTGACCTTGGGGGAGATACTGAATGTCTCTAAGCCACAATTGCATCTTTAGCTAAACAGGGGTAATCATGGTACCCACCACACAGAGCTGTTGGGTTGATCAAATACATCTGTATGTGTCAAGTTCTTAGAACAGTATAGCCAGCACTTAGTTAGAGATGATTATTTAATTTGACTTAACTTGGAAACTGTCATTTCTTGTTTTTCTCGGAAAATGCAGAGGTTCCTTTATTAATGTTCAGTTACAGAAGATGAACTGTCTTGGGGTGTCTCGAGAGAAGGTGCCTATGTTGGACCCAAATTAGACTCATAACTGAAGCTGCTACTTGGTTTTTTGTCACCAGATGTAGGTGGGATGGGGAATCTTCAGGTTGATTCTGAATACAAGACTTCTCCAGCAAAGCTGGGCTTGTCAAAAGTAGATTTCACAGTGTGAGGTGACAGACAGGGCCACCAAATAAAACAGGACTGCTCCACCTACATGGTGGCTACGCTACCTTCAAAGTACTGCCCACAACCCAATTTCTATTGGGGAAACACGGTACAAAGAATTTCCATATGGATCCTAGCAGGACTTGCTGGTGCCTGGGGAAGATTATAAATTAGCTGGTTGCTGTTCACATCAGAGCCAAACGGGCACATTCAGTTTTTAATCTGGACCAATTTTCCGGATCAAAAACCGGTCTTTCCAAGGGATGTAAATGAGCCCAGGAGGAAATTCTCCCCCCCACCCACCCCCCGAATTTTATAAAGTAGCTGTCATTTTAATCTGAGCAGTTTCCAACCTGAAAGCCAGTGTCTGGATAAAATTATAAGGTAATGAAACATTTGTCTAAGCTGAGCATAGTCCAAACGCTCCTTCTACCCCAAATTTGATGTATTTAAGACGCTAACATGTTTAACAGGTGGAGTTTCCACTACCAAAACCCCATCCACGCTTCAGATAAAACCAAAGAGGCATCTTCATGGCATGAACAGCAGAATGAGGCTCTGAATGAACCAGGTAGGAAGTATTTCTAGGAGAGGAACTACAGAAAATACCAAAGGAAATATGATGATTCATTTGAGCAGTTTTATACAGCAGAGTTTTGTAAAATGCTTTGTTTTAAAAATCTGCTTCAATGCTGGAAATCCTTAAAAGAACATAGCATATACTGTTGATGTTTAAGAACTACAGATAGAACTATGCATTATTCAAAATTGTGAGTAGATGGTTTTATGTGAATAAATAAACCCGGAGAATGTAATTGATCATGATGTGGTTACCTAAGGAGCACAGTTAGAAAGTGGCGCTTCTCTGAAATCCTGGTAGATGTATGTATGTGTGCACGTGAGAAAAGAAACGAACATAATATTACCTTGGACGACCGCTATTATCTTCAGGATGAATTGAACAGTGGAAATTGAACAGTGGAAACAGGGAAATAGAATAGCTCACATTTTAAGCATGCTGCAAATTATGATAATGTTCTCCATACCAAGGCAGGTAGCAAGGTGATAACAGATATAGTCTGAAGAGCTGAACAGCAACAAGTCATATAACCAAAAGGAGAGATCCTTGAACAGCGAATATATTTAAGCAGCCATATGGGAACCTGGCAAGATTATTTCCTCTGCCCTCTGATGAATTTCCCCTGGTTTGTCTCTTATAAAAAACACTATTTGTAAAGACAAACTGCACTTTCTGCAAAGTTTTGCAGGCTGCATTCAAATAAAGTTATATTGTGCTCCATTGTTCATAAGGCATAATTAATCCCATAAGACAACCTTGCTTACAAAGTAAACTAAGAAAAAAAACAGATTTTCCAGAATTCTAAATATAGTGTCAGCAAAAAAAAAACAAAACCGTTTTTCGGGGCAAACAATGGTTAGAACTTCGTTGCTTAGAATGTTCTACTTGGAATAATCTCACAACACAGGCCAAATCAAAGTAAACAAAATACAGGAAGACTTTTTACGGGTGAAACTAGAGGAAATGCAAGTTATTATATTTCGAGTTCTCTCCAATTCCTTCTAATAGTCTACAACCCTGACACTTGGGTTGAAATCTTAGAGCAAAGGCAGGAGTTCAAAACAAGATGAAATTCTGAGAAAGCATCCTCAGTCAGAGTGGAAGAGAATCCTAACATTAACCGCCACATCCCTACTCAGTGCGTGGGCAGGACCAGGGATGGGCAGGGGGGACTCCAGGCAGGCAAACCTTCAGACACTTCACAGGAAATGGCTGGGCTCTGGACAATATGAATTCAATAAGATGTTTGGAGACACAGGAGGAGCTGTCTGCCTCTGCACAGTTGCAATCCTCTGTAATTGAGACAGCATGATCGCTAGCCCGGCTCTCAGGTCTCTGGGATCAAATGCAGAGCTTTCCACCTCTGCTGTGCCTGCATAATAGATCATTCTTTTAACAAACAAATATCCCTGGAACCCCCCCCCCCCCCCGCCCTCGGGCTGGGGACCGGGGTGGGGGCGGCTCATGTCTTTTCTCAGCCCAGGGCAGCGATGAACCCAGTTAAACTGGCGCTGGTGAGGGGAGAGAGAGGCGGTGCGTGGACCGCTTCGCGTCCTCACCAGGGACCGGGACCAGGACCTGGGCGCTCCGCCCGGGAGGCCCCACGGGCGCGCAGAGCGTGTTACCTGGTTTTCGGCGAGCTTCCCCAAGCAACACGGAGCCGGACTGGAGGCTGGAAGCCAGGAGCAAGAGCCGGAACAAGATGCCTTGGATTAAATCCATTTCCCCGCCGGCTCCTGCAAAGTTTCACCAAGTCCCGGGCGCACAGAAAAAGGGTGTCTCCTGGGGGGACGAGTGGGACGCCGGCCCCGCGGACCCCCTGGCGGGGGTGAGGGGTTGAGGGGCCGAGGGAGCTAGACCAGCAACCGCCAGGAGTCCGAGGAGGCAGGACCGCAGCCGGAGGTCGGCGTGCGGGAGTGAAGCCAGTTGCCAGCAGCAGGGCTGGGGGGGGAGGGGGGGAGGCGGGGGCTGCGAAGGAGGCCCGCAGGGAGGGACCAGCTGGCTGCGGAGGGAGGGAGGCTGGATCCGCCCGGGGATGTAATTACAATCGGGTGGAAGTGAGAGGGGCCGGCCCTGAGACAATTGACTGTTCGCCTACCTCTGGGGCAGACGGCCCGCCCATCACCCCCTCGAATGACCCCCAGCTCAGCCCTTCCCGGCCGGTGACCTCGGTTGGGGGACCAGGAAGGGGCAACTTCAGCCACTGGAGACGCAGGGCAGGAGATCAGTGACTGCAAGTCCCGGACCCTGGGCCGCGGTCCTCACCCGAAATGTTGCTGCACCTCCCCCTCCCCTGGTTGTACCCCCTCCAGCCGCTGCGCTCTCGGTGGCTCCCACCCGCCTGGGGACTTTCCCAGCACCTCCCCAGGGGGCTCAGGTCGGTCCGGCGCCCCAGGGGGACTGGGAGGGCGAGGAGAGGGTCTGGGTTTGCTAGTGGGTGCGGGAAGGAGGAAGAGGGGGCGGGGCCGGCCGGGCTGGGCGCTAAGAAGATAAATGGGACTTAAGAGCGCAGATGGAGAGCCGATGCCCCATCACTCAGACGCAAACTCCGCGTGGAGATTAAGGCCCAGAGTGGGGGAGCGGGGTCCCCTGGCTTTGGAGGAAGGCAATTTGAGACCCTTCCGGGGCGGAGATGAAACTCCAGGTTAAGCCCGACTTTGGGGAGAGAGAGGCGAGCTTGAGCCCCCTGGAGGGCTGAGAAGACCTGGCTGGGAGCGCACGCCCGCCGCCTGGGGTCCTGGTGCCTGATACTGGATCGGAGTTCCTGGGCTGGTTTCCTGGCCCGTAGAGACACGTTCGCCTCCGATTTGCTGCCTGAGGACTTAGTAAAATGCGCCTTTTGCCAGTTTCCCTGCGAGAGGAGAGACCCTGGGATGTAAGTCGCCTTGCACACAGGCGCGCTGAGCTCCAAACCAGCCAGAAGAGAAAGCAGACACAATAAATAAACCAGGAGGGAAACGCTCGCCAGTGCCCGGGAGATGCAAGGCCCTGGGAAGTGCCCGCAGAGGAAGACCGTGGCCGCTGCCCGGGAGGACCAAGGACCAAGCGCTGAGCCTGAGGCTCTTCCTTCAACCGCGGCCTGGGAGAACCGGAGGGAACACCTGTTGACCCATAGATCCCCAATGAAGCTCCCAGGCGAAAGGTCTGTCAAGAGCCGGATCTTGTTTGTTGGCAAAGCTGAGGATATATTCCCTGATGGTGGCGGTCTCAGATATGCAGCTGCCCATAAATAAATGCCAAGTCCACTCCAACTTGAGTATTGGGGCGTCGTAGCTGTGACACCAGAGCTTGTCCCTTACGCGAATCTGGACTAGAAAAGTCCAGAGGGACTGCGCTTGTCACTTCATGGCCATAACAAAGCCCGCCTGGGAGCCTGGCGGGTGACTGCCCCCAGGGCGCTATCTCCAAAGCAGGGCCACAGACCCTAAGGAGGATCAAGGCCCCTAGAAGTCATGGAGGCCCTGCCTCCGCACCTTCAGGGACCTGTGTTCAGCATCCTTGGCCGGTCAGGGGCCTGGACTTGAACTCCAGCCCCGAAGTTGTTGGCAGCTCTTTCCATGAGAAGAAATTTTCTTATATCTGACCTAAGGTGGCACCCACACCAGGCGGGTGCTACCGTGAAAATACCTCCCATGCTGGTTCTGTTCTTTCCCACTTCAAACATGATTTTCCCTGATGTAGAAATTAGAAATAATAATAACCATTAGCATATGGCCAGCATTTATATAACACCTACTCTCTTTGAATTGCTCTCTAATCCCAGTAATAGTCATCCCACACAGGTATCGTTAGTAGCATTCTCCCCATTTGACAGAGGAAGAAACTGAGGCTCTGAAAGTTAAAAAGCTTCCCCAAAGTCTGCACTCCCAAGAGACAGACTTTGGGTTGAACCCACGCAGTCTGGCTCCAGAGCCCAGGTTGTGGGACAGGTGCGGGGAGAGCTGACACAGGGGAGACTGAGAAACAGGGCCTGTGGGGGCTTCATCCTGGGCCCTGCTTGTTGTAGATCTTGGTAAAATATAGGGCCTGGATAAAACCATCAGTGAATTCCAGATTTTGCTCTCTCCTCCCATATGATAAAATAGCACCGTCTAATCCAAGTCACTTTTGCTTGGAATATGCTTTTTGAGAGACCTGTACAAACCGTCCACTGCACATTTTGCAGACCTGAGCGGCAGCCTTGATGTCCTCCCCCTTTGTCCGCACCACCTCCTCAGACTTGGCCCTGGGCCTCCCTTCCATCTTCGGTGGATGGCCCTCGGCAACTTGGAAGCCGGCCTGCTTTCCCCAGAGGCCCCTCTTGTTTCCTGCTTGCGGGATTCCTTCTGATCGCATGGTTATATTTTCCTTGTGAGGCCCCCAGAGCTCTGGGTCTTCAGGCCATCGAGTCAAGAACCTGCTTCTTGAGATCTGCTCGTGAAAATTCTAGGGCACACGCTCCACTGAACTTGTTCCCTTCCTTTGCCAGTCAAACCGCACCCCCCAAGGTTCCCTCTTCCAGTTTGACAACCAGCTTAGGGCCCTTGGAAATGTGATGCAAGACAAACAGAATGCTTGCCTTTCACACTCTTCCTGCCTCTGGGGGGGAGAGAGCTAAAGAGGGCAAAGAGGCTTTGAATGTTTCATTTTAAAAAATCTGTTCAGATTCACTGGAGGTCTAAACTCAATTAACAAGGTCACCAGCAGAAGACCGACCTGCCTGCTTTGCTCAATATCATGAAAGAAGACTCTGACCCTTGCCCCCTGGAATGGATTTGGAGGCTGTTAGAAGAAAGTGAAGGCAAACTTACAGATTACAAAATGTGTAGAAAGGCCCTAAACGAGAGAAAAAGACAGCAGCAAAGACATTAGCGTTAGATTTAATTTAGTTCTTGAATAGGTTATATGTACAGATAAAATTTGAAATGTGCATCAGGCAGCATGCATAGTGGAAATTAAGTTTCCTTTTACCCCTTCCTCTCCCAGAAGCAATCACTGTTATCAGTTTTTTATGTATCTTTCTTTAGATATTCTAGGAACAAACAAATATGTACACATATATTTTACACAAACAGGAGCATCTTGTACAAGCCTTTGAACCTGAAGATCCTTCCACATAAGCAAATACAGATCTGCCTTCCTCACCCTAACTGCTGAATAATATTCTATTGTATAATGTGAAGCAATTCATCCTTTCTTCTATAGTTTTTATATAACATTTTTCCTGTTATAGACAACACTCTGGTGAATGATCTTGAATATACAACAGTGTGCATATGTTATAATAGACTGTAGGGTGCATTTCTAGACGAGCCATTGCTCAGTCAAAAGGATACATGCCTTTTCAATTTGATAATTTGGCCAAATCCTCCCAAGGAGAGTGTATGGATTTACACTGCCTCGAGCAATAGATGAGTATGACCATTTCCACAAACTCTCATCAACATAGTGTCTTATCAAACTAGAACTTTATGTTACATACATGTAAATGACATGTTTTAATCAACATAGAACATGTAAAGAAAGTGCACAAATAATAAGTGCACTGAACGATGCCTTATAGCAAAGTGAGCACACTGTACAACTACCACCACCCCCAGTCATCCCTTCTCATGCTCCCTCCCTAGATGTATATATTTTTGAGGAAGTATCAAGAGAGTTCAAACGTTCCATGCACTTTCAATTAAAATACACAAATAAAAATTGATCAGTCAAACATGTAAGCACTCCCCACCCCTGAAATGAAGCAAGCATTAATTGAGATTTGATCCCATTCTGTAGAAGGCTCTGTGCTGGGAACAGAAAGACGAATAGGAAAGGAAACCCAACAGTGTCTTCTGCACTCAGAAGACTACAATTCTGGGGCAAGAAGACAGCTGCACAACCAACTGCTCCACAAAGCAGACCAAGGAAGCACTAGCTAGCTGTGCAAGCATCATACTATTGTGTCAAGAGAGGAAGACCCTGTATTAAAGTGACAACCTATGTAATGATACATTGAAATATAGCCATTAGCCTCACAACTGTATAAATTAAGCTTATGTACATAATAGGACTCCCCAGGGGCAGAGCTGGAGTGACCAGGGTAAATTAGCTGGTATTCCCCAAATCTGTCCTTCCTTCTGCATACATTTCTAGCAGCACTGGTTAAAAGTGACGGGGAATTATAGTTAAGTTGGGCAACCTGATGATTCTCCAGCCTTTCATTTTAATGTAAACTCTTTAATAAATAAGGTGAATAAATCCCAAGTGTATAATTCAATGGATTGTCACAAAGGAAATAAACCCGTGAGATAAGCCTCCAGATCATGAACCAGAACAATGCCGGGCTCTAAAAGCCTCTTCATTCCTCCCCCAATCATAACCTACCCCATAACCAAATGGGAACGCATTTTCCTGATGGCTAACATCTACATTAGTTTTGCCTGGTTTTGACCTCTATGTAAATGGAATGCAGTGGTTTACCCCAGTTATGTACTAGTAATCATTTATGTCTAGCCTCTGTTACGCAATGTTATGCTTCAGATGTTCATTCAAGCTCTGGGGTTATTTCTCATTGCTGTATACTATTCCATTGTGAACGTGTAATTTGATTTGTTTTCATTCTCCTGCTGATGGACATTTGGGTGTTTTCTAGTTTGGAGCTATGACCCAAAATGCTTACGTGATCATTCTGGTATGTGTCTTTGGTAAGCACAGTAAGCCCTTCTGTTGTGATACCTGTGAGCAGAATGACTGGGTTATATGGCAGGCATATGTTTAGATTTGGAAGATATGGTCAAACAGTTTTCCAAAGTAGCTCTACCAATTTACACTCCCACTGGCAGCATATGAAAGCTCCAGTTGGTCCACAATCTCACCAGCGTTGATATTGTCTTTTTCATGTTAGTCATTTGATGAATGTGCAGCAATATCACATAGTTTTCACTTGTGTTTCTTTGATAACTAATGCAGTCAA